GCTTACTAACTGTCCTGCCAAGCTGCAAAGGTTAGCTCAAATTTCACACGTCGCGTTGCAGAAACGCTGTCTCGGTATTTCTTCCTCTTTGCGTGTGACATTTCTATGACTTCGCAGCGTAAATGATTCTCTTACTGCTGACATTACTTTCCTTGATAACGGCGCAGTTTATATTTTCATGTAAGTAAAAATTCCTTTTGTATGTATGCACAGTCTTGAATAAATGCAGAGAGAAATTAAATATATCTCTTTAAGTAAGTGTTTAGTCTCGACAGTGGATTAAACTATAAATCAAAGAGTAGGCACACTCTTTAATCTAAGTTATAAGTCTAATCTTATAGATGTAGGCCTATCATCCTTATGGAAAAACCGAATACAAATAATTGTAAGGTTAAATCTGCACGGGTTATGAGAAGGATACATTCATATGCAACTTTTAAAAATATGTTCATAAAATAACGATTTATTCGTAAACAATTTCTTGTTTTCTGGTATTATAACCTAATAGTAAAACACAATTTGTTAAATCAACCTGTAAATAAGAAAAACATAGTCGACATCAGTGCACTCAAACGTTACCAACACAAATCAAAACAGGCTTCAGACTTTTTAATGGGATGAGAAGTGTAGCCTACTTCCACCATTGAAAACTCAATGACTCTAACCACAATTCCGATGTTTTCTATGACACTCTAAAATACGTTGTTTTGACGGATGTCATTAGTATGACTAGTGTATAATGAATCTCTAGGGCATTCACAATGTTATCAAACTATAGAAATATGGTTCTATGCATAGTTCTGACATGTTCTACGTGACACTAATAATGCTCCTTGTTTCACCTAATTGTAATTACTTTTTCCTCGTATTCTGTTACGTTTGTATAACTAACTTAGGAAAATTAAAACTATAAGAAAATCGGAGATATACTCTGGAAATTTGAGTCAATTATCAAAGTATCAGATTTTAGATTTATCTGTAGATTTGTATGTTGATGAGATTGTGGAATCTTACTCTGCAAAATCATGTCTAAATAGTAGGCCTACTTGATAGAATTTTGCAATATTTTTTAGCATTTATATATTTTTTTATAAATACCATTCATCGTAGTATATAATTTAATGTGTACCTATATAACTGTGCGATATGCCTCATGAGTAAAATAGTTGTATAGCAAAATGATCATAATTAAAAGAAAGGTTTCGTTTGGTAAAAAATACGATCTGAAAACAGAACGAAACATTGACAAAGAAAAGAGTATTATATAAGTTCATGTGTAATGTGGAACAACAACCAACATAACTAACCAATTAAAAATTGAGTACAACAGATACAACATTATAAATATGTAAAACTAGGAACTATGACACACATGTACACAAAACTTTTTAATTTTCTATTGGGACTAAATAATTAATCGAAGGTAAGATTCTCAACGAGAATCTGAATACAACTTTTTAGCCCGATTAGACTTTAGGTTGCCATTTCCAGTTCGAGGTTTGCATGTATTGCACAATACGCACGTGGACCCACTCCCCTGTTTTGAGGGGGTGGCCTTCACTGATTCATTATATTGAAGGGAGATTCCCCTCACCCCATAGTGCAAGGGGTTGTTTAGCAATTGCACGAAAGTGCGCGGCTACTGCCCACTGCGTGTATTAATTGATGCTATTGATCTGTATTCATTTGTGGTAGCCTAAATTTACAGGTATGTATCCCAAGGAGGTTCATATTATTAGGCAATAGCCTGTAAAACCGTTTGGAATCCAAGCAACGAAAGGGATTATAAGTCAATTTTGAAAAAAAATATTCTTTTGTACAGAACATTTTAAATTTAAAACAAAGAACAGTGGAGAAATAGTCTAAGATTGAACTTTCGATTTTTTGTTAACTTGGGTTATGCATTCAAGCACTAATGTTGAAATATGTCTCATTCGTTTTGTTTTAGTTTAGTGTAGTGTGGTGTAGTCTTCATTTAGTTTCCATTTGTCTGTGTTTCAAGAGATGAGGGAGCCTTAAAATGGAGAGTAAGTGAAAAATACGTTTAAAAAAATAATATTCAGAATATCACCAATAAATCGGGATTAAATTAGGGAATCGTATACAATAACAGAACACGAAAATAATATTACAGTATTATACTCTCACTTTATTCTTAGACAAAGAAGGTAAACGGGTTCGGATTTTACTTGGGAACATTCATCATTGATTTTTATTTAACAATACCATACTTAATACTATGCAGATTTAACCCGAGTAATATTTACTCTTTAATTTAAGGTAGGCCCTAGTACTAAAAATTACAACTATCTCTACAACAACTATTTTCTTGGGTCTTGGCATCGATGTATAATAACTATACATCGATGGGTCTTGGTGACTAAACAGAGAAAAGCAAAATCACTATCTTCAACCCCTATCTAGTTATTCAGAACATAACAGAGCTTTTTAAATTCGAACTATGTTTATTATAAATGTTCAAAGTCATCTGTTAATGGGTCGCCGGAATTTTATCCCCCTGGAATTTTACCCCCTGAGCAAAGCTGACGTCACTATGACGTAGTAACCTGAGTAGCCAAAAGTTTGTTCGCGGCCGGAATTTTACCCCCGCGGATTTGGAAGTCTAATGAAAATAGTCAGAGCGTGATTAATTAGATTAGCGATAAAAACCGGAATTTTACCCCCTGTCCATATAACTAGCGTTTAGGCAACTGAAGATGTACGGGCCGGATTTTTACCCCCGGAATTTTACCCCCCGGAATTTTACCCCCCGGAATTTTACCCCCAGGAATTTTACCCCCTGGCTGATTTTAGAAATTGAATGATTGATTTTCTTATTTCTGTTTTTAATTAATTGTAAACATTTCATTATTTAGTAGCCTATCTTTATTTATTTATTTTGTAATCTCAACTAAGTAAACAGAATTCGCTGTTTTATTTTGATCATATTAACCAACAGTTGGCTTCAAAGATCGAATCCTGACACTCGAATCTCAAAATTAATATTAAAACCCTGTTTGATTAGTTAATGTTACATATAAATTAAGATAGGCTACTTAATAATAAAATGTTTACCATTAAATTAAAACTGAATGACGATAATTAATCATTCTCACTAATTTATACCTGGCCAGGGGGTAAAATTCCGGGGGGTAAAATTCCGGGGGTAAAAATCCGGGCCGTACATTCTAGGTTTTTATAATTTGATGTGTTCTGATTAAACTCACAACCGTGAAAATATATGTTTAATTCCGCGTTTAATCCATCGAGCTGATGTCGCGAAACTCAAAAGTTCGCGGCCGGAATTTTACCCCCTGGTTTGTGACGTCACGTTTGCCCAGGGGGTAAAATTCCAGGGGGATAAAAATCCGCTTCCCCCTGTGAATCAGCTGTTTGGCGGGAGAGGAGAGGTCGCTAACAGCTGACGGCTTCCGCATCCTGTCAGACACGTCGTGCGAGTTGCAATCGTATACTAACAATGGTAATTGTATGGATTTATCTCATGAAATTATTATTTTCAGTTGGTGTTGCAAAGTAATAACATTGCTAAAAGTAGTTTTTATGTAAGAAAAACTATTATTGAGCTTGTGCTTTGCAACTGATGAAAACTTAGGAAGTGTTACAGTGTAATAAAACCAACAATAGTGCAACAATTACTAATTATCAATGAAATTCCCAGCAATAGGAACATAGTATGATTGTATTTTATTCTACCTACACCAAAAGTTTGCGATCTTGACTTCAAATTATGGGGGCACACAAAATTTACGATTCTTTACTTACAACTTGTTCACTAGAATCTGTACTCGGCATCTAATGAAGAATCTACAATTCAATATGTGGCAATATCGAAATAAACAATCTGTGGGAAGAATCTAGAACCTATTGCTGTGAAGTTGCACAATCTAAGGTAAAAGACGATGTAAGGCGGTCTAGGGCCCAGGAAGTTTCAAAGTGGCTGCGGTGGAGTTTAGTTATGTTTTTTGTTGGGCGGTTTTTGAAAAGCGGGGATAATGACTAGGGGCGGATATGGCGGGACGAGAATTGTAGATCCATTGAGGGTTGTTAGAAGCCCCCATGTGGTTTTGGAGGAACAACTCAAGTTACAATTGGAAGACGTATTGTGTTAAACAATACAAGATGTTTATAATCGTGGATATTGTAGATTAAAAACTCGGCGTCTTTCAACAATTTGCAATTTGCTACAACGAATATGCATGTTGTACATTATTAGAAACATAATAAACGGCAGTACTGTATGTATAATTCGCAAAAACTAACATCTGTCGGCGCATTTACGGTTGACGGGTTGGATGTGGTTTGGACGACTTTGGTGGTTTCCCTATAAAACTGCAAGTAACACTGATAAGTGGTCATAACGTTATAAACTTATCAGTAAGGATCGGTGATTGTAAAAAATACTATCGAGTCGTGGTCGCTGGTCTAGTCTGTTACGCGATTAAATCACATGTTGCCACGGCAGATGGCAACAGCGACGATATGACGTTAGAACTCTCTGTATCTCCTCAACACCGATGAGAGATACCTATGTCTAATCTATACCTTACTTCAGTTGGCAACAATGGCACTGAGTACTCAGTTGGTTACACTGAAGATGGAGTTCTTCTCTCCCTCAGTTGGCCAAAATGATTCGGAGCTCTTAATTCCTCTACTAGATGGCAACACTGTAGTGCACTCTTTCCCTACTAGTTGACAGCAATGCAAAGGAAGGGAGCTCTCTGTCCCTCTCTGTAGGTTGGCAACGCGACGGGTGGGCGAGGAGGGAGCTCTCCCTCTCTCTCACTCGACTCCAGTTATTGACTCCGAGAGTGAACACTCCGCTCCGCCTCCTAGCAACATGTTGACGTCGACGTGTCATACTCATACTAGTAGTTCTGTCGTTCTGTGAAGTGAATTTATTTCTCATTCGAAGATTCGATTAGATTCTTGTGTTGTGGAACTCAGTTAGATTTTCTCTATACGGTAGTAAATATAAAAATATGACAGATTGTGCTAGCCTAGAAGCGGATGAAGCTCAGAGAAGATTCGTGTCTATTTTAAAAGAATACCCTATTATGTTGAACGTATCTATGCTTCCGGAAATACGAAAAAAGAGGACCGCCACGTTGACGGAAATCACAAAACGTGTTGAACTTGAAATGAACGTTCCGATCACCGAGTGTCAAATAGCGAAGAAGATTCAGAACCTGAAGAGTAGGATCAAGAAGAGAAATGAACTCATGAAGGCTGGGAAGAAAACGTTTTATCTTAAAGACTGGCAAAAAGACTTCTCAGATTTTATGGAAGAAGAATCTAAGTTGGCAGCGCTGAGGGGAAACAACTTCTGGGTTGAGCAAGGTATGTATCTTGCTTTGCTTTACACAAGCATAACTTTGACTGGCGAAAGGAATAATTGTTATAGCCTTGTATTTTTTAGTGGGATTGATAAATGAAATGGAAACGTTTGATAACACAAACTATTTATTTAGATTCAAACCTTAATTTATATATTTTTTAATTCCTTTGGTGTAGGCAACTACAATACTTTTAAAATATCCAAATTGTTTCTCTCAGTTAAAACAAAATCAAATAAACTACTATTAAGTTATCTAGGAAATTAATGGATTTGTTGCAAATGAAAGATATTACATTCCAGAAATTTATCAAAAGAGTTAAAAAAAATTATTTTTCAATTTTGTGCCGAGATTTTGCGAGGGGGGGCTGCTAAATCTGGTCTATTTTGCCTTTCTCCTCATATTATAATTTTGTGAAGGTCTGCCAGTACTTATAAAAGACAAATATTAAAATTTATATAATATTATAATTTGATAAATATTTTGATTCAGTAGAGTCAATATACTATAATATTTTTCCAATACAGTAGCTCTTTTTTGAATCTTAAAAACCTGTGATTTTAGTGACTCAGATGCAGAGCCCCAAAGTATGATGCTATATGAATGTCAAATTTAAATCAGAAATTAATAAACTCATTATTTTTTTAGCAAAAAGTTCAATAAAATCTATTATTGATGTAAAAAAACATACTTACATACTTCCCCTCGGGTAAAAAAGTGACATATTGAACAAAAGTGATTTTCATCATATTGCTCACTTTGTCAGTAAATCTAATCCACTGTGTTCATTTTTGTTCTGAAACTGGCTTTAACTGTACCATGGGAATTGAATGGAGTTGTAATTTTATTGATGGTCAAAGAGGGAACAAAATACAAGGAATGAGCCAGTATATTAAATTAATGATAAGTGCAATGGCCATCTAAAGTTCACTGATAATGATTGGTGGCAGTAAGTTTATAGCGCGGGACTTCAGTGCCTGAGGTCCCGGGTTCAAATCCCGCCAAATCACCAATGGATTTTATTTAAGTGATAATGCCGTAACCCCTAGGTCTAGCCTGAAGTAATGTGAAAAACAATCCTGGGCTCGTGCCTAGCGCCCTAAGACAAAAAAAAAAAAAATAAATAAATAATAACCATGGATTGAACCATAATTTAACCAATTTTATTGATAGAAGGGGAAGACTATAACAAAAGTTATGTTTCCAGGTGCTGTATCAGCAGAACTTCTGCGAAATGATTCTGAAGGTGGAGAATTTCTTACTTTAAATGCAGAAAACTCTGAAGTGGATGTAAACAGCTATTCAGATGAAGATGAAATGTTCAAACCTCTTCCCCAAGAAATATTGATGAATCATTCTGCTGGAGAATCAACATCTCACACAGAAAAGAGACACAGACTTCCGGAAACCGAAGAAACAAAAAGGTTGTCAACTGCGGAATTGAAAAGGCTTGTCTTACTAGAACAATTAAACTTCTACAGAGATGCAAATAAATTAGTTCAGTTTAAACTAGATGAGCAGTGTAAAAAGAGAAGTAATGTCTTATAAATATGTATTATATCTATATTTAAAAGTGTCCTTTCTTTACAAAATCCTTTTTAGGACAAGGAAACAAACTTATACCCCCCCCAGATTTGGTAATTAAGTTGTAAAAACCGCTCTCAAAAAGTAAGTCAGCAGCATCTCAAAAAGGTGAGACATGGAAAATTAGATGAAGATGGTACAAAGTGAGGTAAAAGATTAATGCAATGGTAATTTTACAAAAAAGAGTACAGTACAATCAGAATTCAACAATTATACTTCATAACAAAAATTGGAATCCCAGTTCCATTTTCAACTTTTCTAGCTGACCGAAATTTCTTTCTTGTTCGTCTCAGACACATACTTGTTGCCCTCATAACTGCACAAATTGTTCTTGATCTGATCCAATTAATTACCAAACTGTATGGGTTTTGTCCATTTTCCTTATAGTTTTTCATCTATAACCCTTAAAAACATTTGGAATTCATTCCCGAAAATTCCATCACGACTTGTTACCAGAGGAGTAAATGATGCATGTAATATTAATTTTGTATCTTTAAAAACTTGCTTGGAGTCAATGGAGACATAAGTATAAATAAAATTTCCATAGGGGGTTCAGTAAAAAGAGTAAACATAATTTACTGACTTTCAAGAAGGAATAGGTGGAGAATATTGAGAAAAACATTCATAGATCCAAGTACAGCACCAGGAAGTTTCTCCCCACAGAAACCTTAACAAAATGTTGGAACTCCTTTTATAATAGAAATTTTGGGGGTTCAATCAATCAATTCATTGAATAGTTCACAAATTATATTATTTTCCCAGGGAAGCTATAATTTTTATTTACAAACTGTATTCAAGTTATTTATTGGCTGAAATGGGTAAACTTCTGAAATCACACAGACCTTTATCATCTGTATATAACCGATATTACTTTTTCTACAGTTATAAATTTAATTAACTTTATCACCTTTGCTTTAAAACCCGCTATTATACGGTATACTACTGATTTAGCCCATCATGGTCACGGGGGGGGGGGGGGGGGGTACATCTCATTGTCTTATCTCCTTTCGTTATCATTGATATTACCTTATATTTTGTCAGCTGGTTTTAAATGTAGAATTGTTTTGAAAGGCAAATGAGGACGGGATTGTGATTTTTTGTTGATGACGTAGTCTTCTGAAAGATTCTCTATGCATATGAAACCCATAATAAGAAACATATACAACTCCAAGAATGACAAAATGCCATTCAAAATGCTATACTTCTACGATTGTAAGCTATGGAACAATTTACATTTTCTTTTATAAGCTAAGCGATTATGAGTTTTATGGAACGAATTCGCAATTATAAGCTGTATCATTATAAGGTATGACACCCTACCCCCTGGAGTTTAGCACCTCACCTCAGAGACTTCAGTAAGAGAGGGACGGACTCGATCCCAGGCGTATCCAGACATCCACTAATCAATGAGTTTGAACTGATTTCTCTTTACACTGTTTTCTTTACCTTCTACATTAGTGCCACTAGGGCCACTTGGGTGAGTGAGTTAGTAGCATTGAGATAAATAGATTACAACTTGAGTCACTACTCTTCTCTGGTTAAACATTAGAGAAAAGCGTGCCACTGTTTTTGCTAGTTTGTTTTCGGTGTTTCGTGTTGTTAGGTTGGCCGTGTCCGGTTGGTGGGATCATGCTGTCAAATTCCAATTCATTCTAACATAACCATAGGCCTACTATTTATTTGGGGTTATCCGTTATTTCAAGGACTTGTATCAAAAAGTTATTTAAGTTGTTGCACGTTAAAAACTTTGTATTCCAAGTTATTTTGAAACATAAATTGAGTTATAAATTGTTTACCGGTACTTTGTATGGTCGCCATTTCATCGAAAAGTATTAAAAGTATTAAAGTTTTTGGTTATAGTAAATAAATACTAACTTATTTACCTCTTTTCAAGCTATGATTAATGGTGAAAATAGTCAAGTTTCCTGGTTTGGGGTTGGAGATTTTGGTTTAGTCTTAGGTTTAGCCCACGATTACTAGAAAAATACCAGTATGGATCATAAACATAAACAAATGATGTTGTTGGCCCGAATCCTATACTAATAGCATGGAACATACGTTTTGGCAGTTCCATTTATTTAATCAATGTTAAATAATGTTTATTTTCGGGCCAAAAACGTCATTTTGTTGATGTTTATGATCCATACCGGTATTTTTCTAGTAATCTTGGTTAGCCCTATGGCATTTAAATAAAGAACGGCCATCGGTTTGGTATGATCTTGTTACCACTGTTAAAATGGGTTGCTCGTAAAATCCTACTAATATTATAAATGAGAAAGTTTGGATGTATGGATGTATGGATGGATGTATGGATGTATGTTTGTGACAAGTGAACGCGAAAAATACTGGTCGGATTGGGCTGAAATTTGGCATGATGATAGCTCACATTCCCGATTAACATATAGGCATATTCTTATTTCAAAAATCCTTTCGGGCTCCACCCCAGTGGCTCTGGAGTTTCCCATGTTAACCTTATGAGAAATGGATGAATTATTGAATCTTAACAGCTGTTTCAATTAAACAACTTGGTTCTGTTCTATGATGTTCAATAGCATTAAAGTTACAAGGATTACCAACAGGGTGCAGCACTAATATTTCTTTTACATTTATGACAAAAGCTAATTTGCTACCAAAAGGTGAGTGAGCGTAGCGAACGAACTTCAACCTGGAGGCGAGTTAGCGTAGCGAACGAGCTAACCTGAAGGCAAGTGAGTGCAGCGAACGAGCTCCAACCCAAAGGTGAGTGAGCGTAGCGAACAAACTTCAACCAGGACGTGATTGAGCCATGCGAACGAGATAATCTTGAAAATTAAGAAGTTAAACGGGGCAAAGCCCGCGGGTTACAGCTAGTAAATAAATAAATTTACATTGCAATCATAATGTTTACATATCTTTGTTTACTATCAACAAAACAACAGGATGACGCCATCTTCATCTAGCCTCTAATTTGACAAGTCCCACCAACCGATCACATGGCCAACCTAACAACACGAAACTCTGAAACGAAACCAGCAAAAACAGTGGCTACGTTTTTTAAACACAGTAACACTGTTTTTTCCTTCCACCATGGTAACACAGTGATGGTTACTCCAACTATTATTATAGCTCACTTAAGCTCAGTGGTTAGTAGTATCATAGATAAAACATTAAACATACTTGAGGAGTATGTTTATCTATGTTAGTATATTTAAATGCTGGGTTAGGTGGATAAAAAAATAGTTGTAAAAATCACTAAAATCAGTGCTCTCTGAACGTTATCAACATTACACGCATGGAAAAAGTCTTCACGTTTGATAGTAGGATGATAAATTTAATTTACAAAAGCAAAATACAAGTCAATTATTGATTTTGTTTTCATAAATTATTTGCTATTATATGCACTCAATATCCCTTTTTAAATGCGAGAGTATAGTATCATTGACTATTGGATGTCAAATATAGTATACTCTGTGCATAATCTTAGCTACTGTAACTGTACTCCGTGTTTATTGTTTCCCACCATATTTTCTAACCTTTAAAATCTTGAATCTTCCGTTCGAAGTAGGCTATTTATTTATCCAAATGAAAGGTATAGTTCCTATTTATCAGTAGCTTGTGTATTTGTGAAGTTATAATTTTAAATAGCCCTAATTTACTGTAACTTAATCTAATCTCAAGCTGCACTTCGAAATTAGAGAAACAAAATAATTAGCTACCTAGGTGTAGGCTAGTTCTGGTGAGTAAATACATTGTAAATATTATGTTCTTTAAAAATACTGATTTTAAACATACAACCAGGCCAATGAATTTTACTGTAAGCCAGCCGATAGGTTTAAATTATGACTATAGGCCTATCTAAGACTAAGTTTTAAAGCGATTGCTTTTGGTTTTCCAAATCCACGACTGTAAGTTGCACTAAGGTCACTTCTAGTATCAAATCAACATTTTAAAATTCCATTCTATAGGCGTACTTACTTACTTGATACTTGTGTGCTACGTCGTTGACCGACAATGTCGGATAGACTGCAAAAAAACACTAGGTAAGTTACCGTACTATTTTTTACATACATACAAAACTTTACGAGGCTGTGGCGGTAAATAAGAGGAGTTACACATTTTTAGGGAAGGGCTTCTAAGTAACTATTAGGGGCTCTTCACTCAGCTCCTCCAGCGAGTATACTGGCCTATTTACTAAGCTGTTTCTGATTGCTGCTTTGAAAGAGGTGATGTTCATATCCCGCACCTTATCCGCAAGGTGTTAAAAAGTCTTATGGCATTGCGGGGATAGCTCTTGAGGGTGCGGGTGAGACGACATCGCGGCATGTCAAGGTGTAGTGCTTGCCGGGTGTCATAGCGGTGATGAACTTCTCTTTGGTCGAACAGATGGACATTCTCTTTCAGAAGTATTAGGATGTTCAATACGTATTGATTAAATACTGTAAGAATGCCCAGGTCTTTAAAAAGGGGTCTACAATGCCCGTTGTAGTCGGCTGACATTATGATTCTTACAGCTTTTTTCTGAAGCAATAATATGTCCTGTGGTGCTGGTGAATGGCCCCAAGTACCAAGCCGTACATAAGATGGCTATGAAACAGAGCATGGTAGGCCTACACAGTTATCAAGAATTGCTTCGGGATGACGTTCCAAAGTTTCCTTAGGAGGCAAATTACCCTAGATAGCCGTGTGCATACCCTATCAATGTGTGAGCTCCAGCTGAGTTTGGGATCCAACCAGAACCCTAGAAGTTTAACCGCGTCAACCCTTTCGGTTAGTGGGTTCAGTGTGCAGAGCAAGGACTCAGTTTTGGCTGCATTTAATTTCAGGCGGTTTGCTGTAAACCAGTTCTTGGCCAGCTCCAAAAAATGGTCAGCTTCAATATGCAGTTGCTCAATATCGCTTCCTCTAGATATCAGGGTGGTGCCGTCAGCGAAGAGGAGGGTGGAGCCATTTAGCCTCAAGTCATTCACCGCCACACTAAAAAGGAGAGGGCCGAGCACCGAGCCCTGTGGCACTCCATGTGAGATACTCCTGATGCAGAAGAAGGCCCCATTTATTGAGACTACTTGTCTGCGATTAGCCAGATAACAGGACCAGGGACTTCAGCACAATTCCGCCCACACCATACTTTGCTAGTTTGCCTATCAGTAGCTTATGGGACACCACATCAAAAGCCTTGCTCAGATTGCAGAGTCTGAGGAGGATTGACTCGTTATGTTCGAAGGTGTCAATCCACTATATGTTATTTTTGCCTAAACAAGATCAGTTGTCAGTTTGTAATTTAAATACGTTTGAAGATATTAAAATAGAAGGAATATGGATCGTAAACGAAAACAAAAATATCGATATATCGAAAAAGTCATCCATAATAATGAATGTTCCCTTAAACAGGAAAGTAGGCTACCTTCAATTGTTCTGAAAGACCTGGCCCAAAACTTGGATGGATGAATTAGGCCTATGTTTTAGTCTAATACTCTAATAGGCCTCTATTAGCCATGAGCAACATGTGGGGCAGCTAGTGGAGCCGCCGGTGTCGGACGTGTAGAGGGGCACGAAGTCAAATGGCGCCTATTAGCCGCGAGGAGACTGGTGGCGACGCCGAAAAAGCTGCCCGAGATGTTACCGGGAGTGATTTTGCCCGGCAACATGTGTCGCGGCCATTTTAGTGTCTAGGCAGTCGGGGGGCATTGCAGTCTCCACTGACTGCGCGCGCATGCTGTAATAACTTGAAAACGAAGCCTGTCACACAGTCTACATCGTGGTTTGAGTTGATTGAGACGTGCCTTGCCATATTGCTGTTCTATTCATTAGTGACTCTCTGTTCACTTTGTTTACCAGTGCCTTTTTAACAGTGTATTCTTTCCTTCCAGTGATGGGCAGAAGTAGTTGAAAAACTTACTGGGGTGAGCCCAAAGATCGTCGAACAGAGTGTAATAAATGCCTTTGCTGAGCCTAGGAACTAGAATGGGATGTCTCCTAAACTGCCTGACTCTTCGCCTCCTTTTTTTTAACAGGAGAAGAAGAAGAAGGAGCTCCGAACTGCTCAATGTCATGTTTGACACTAGAGTGTTGTGGTGAATTCCGCTGTTTGAGCGAGCTACGAATGTGTCGCGTGACTAGTGTCCAGGTTCCAAAACGCTGTGGATCACCGGTATCACCACCGGCGGCTCCACTAACTGTGCCACATGTTGCTCACAGCTAATAGGGGTCTGAAACTGTAGTAACTTAGGCCTATTGATACAGTACCACTAACCAAGAATCATTTGACAGAGAAAGATAACATTAACCTGTAAGCATATCATATGTAATTGTTTCTTGTTATTTGTATTCTCTAGGGCTATAGCCCTACTTAATGATGATCGATTTTCTTTTAGGTGGATGAATGCAGTATAGTTTAATATGTCATCTCCTTTTACATTTGATGAAGACAATAGCTCTCTTAAAGCTAGTGAAGATGACTTAAATAAATTCTCCACGTCGGTATCATATGAGTTTAACAGTTCTTTTGCGGACAAAGAGAAAAATGAAGTAGCCATTGATCAAGCGATTGCTGGACTGAAAACATGTTTGCAGCAGTATGAGGATAAAGGTGAGTTTACCATTTGTAAATTTAAAAACAATACTCCTCTCTTAACCGACTCTTATGGAACCCAGATCAGGTTGTATGAAAAAAAGAGTTAAAACAGGAAACTACATATAAACTTGTAAAATACTGTAGAAATAAATTTATTTTTCCTACAGTCACCCGACAAAGTTGGCTTCCTTGTACTGTTTATAGTACAGAAAGCTGCTAATTGCTGCATATTTATACTTTGTCGTACGGTTTATACTTTGGCGCACATCAGGATTCCAACGAAACAACACAAAACAGCGTGGTTCTATTATGCACGTAATCCGTGTACGCTTGTAAATAGGTTGGCAACACTTAAAGATATTAATACTATGAGCAGCTGATTGACTATTATAACTACGATTTAACCTGTCATTTTGTGTTTATAGTTTTGGTATTTCTGAACATTCTGGACTTTTCTTTTAAACGTTTTTAAAACATTCCTACGATTTTAATAAACAAGAAATTACCTTTAAAGCATTTTTTTAGGTGCGGAAACCACTTGAAATTACAAAAATATACGGAACTATTTTCTCAAGTCGCAAGGAGCACATTGCTTGCCGAGGAAAAAATAGCGGAATGACTACTTTCTCTAGGGCACCTATTTGTGTTGCCAGCTGAACCTGAAAACGTGTTGTATAGTGTTTGAAAGACTTATTATATTTATATGCTTTATAGTGACTGTAGGAAAAATATCATGTGTATCTCGAGTGCAAAAGGCCTTTGCTGCACTCGAGATCATTCCCCACTGCTCTCGTGTGCAGCAAAGTGCCACTTTGCTCACTAGTTACACAAATAACTATTTGACATTGTATGAATGAAAAACTCAAAAAATGAAGCTTAAAGTGTAGTTTTGTGATGTTTTCTTACAAAATGAACTGTTTCTTTCTTTAAAAAGTTAATCCATCACTATTTTTAATTAGGTTAAAATAGGATATGCACATGCATTGTAACATCTTCATAACAATTAGTTATTTTTGACACAGATCTTAGTTATACCGGTACCGTAAGTATAAACGTGTTTATATGTGCCTATTCCCAGATCGAAGTAACAAATATTCAAACTTTACTCATATTATATATAGGATTGTTAATCAATAATTTATTGAAGTTCATTTCACTTGTAAAATGTTCCATGAACATTTGGTAGGAGCATCTTGGAGATTTGGAGATTTGGCATCTTGCTAGGAGGATGTTAGAAGTTGTCAGTTTACTATATACAGCTAGTGTAATAATTTGAATCAGCTGTTATAGCTATTTACCTTACAAGTGTAGTAAGAGCGTTTTTACATCACGCAGGTGAATGTTGTGCAACGAGCGGAAGCGAGTTGCATAATTTACCTAAGTGATGTAAACACGCTCTTGCGTAACGTGTAACCATAGATAAAACATACTCCCTTAGTAGATTTCTCATCCTTATGGAACAGCTGAAGACAATTTTATTGTTAGTTCTGTACGGTTTATGTAGAGGTCGTGTTTTGTTTACAATTTGTTTCCCGTTATTACAGCCACTTAAAACCTCGTTTAGCCAACTAATACAATCTAATCATAAACAATAACTTGTCCCCTAGTTATATAACCAAACAGTAAAGCACAAATCAAGAAATTAACCCTAAAATAATAGAAACAAAGTTTCGTCGACACTAGCGCCTTTGTGACACGTACATGCACTAGACATGAAAAACGTGCTTCAAAATTTACAATGGGATGAGAAGTCTACTTGTGTTGGTTAGTCTATGGTGTAACGTACAAGATTTTACCTGAACCGACAATATACAGGAGGTTACGAATTATATCTTTCATTATCCATTTCACTCATCTTCTAACAGTAACGTTCATTTACAAACAAAAGCTAGGTTAGGAAATTTCTTCAAAACATAACAATAAAATTCAAGCGCACAGCTGATTTCTAGCGTTGAACGTCGTTGGCTCCATAGAGGTAGGCTATATTTTTTAAGTTAAGCACTCAATGTTATTTAAATGGGTTTCATTACCTCACCGAGTGAGATTTTTTCAACTTTACATCACTTGAGAAGTAAAGAAGTTGTATACATCACGCTTGGGATAGGGAAGTTTAACATTGCGGGTTAGGTAAAATATTTTATACTCTTTAGTCTTTGCAGTTGTTGTTTCATTGCTAAGATTCAGCTATGATAAAACACATTCATTGTTGTATTGTTGTGAATTCAAATTGGAAATAATAAAGTGTGTTGAAAGTAACAGCTCTCTGATTTAAAGTTTTTTAAAGCTTTTACTATCTTATAGAATTTAAATCTAAAATGTTGATGTGATTCCAACACCGCCGTCACAAGTATTTCCGGAACAATACTAGATTAGTAGAGCTGAAAGCGCACGACTGTCCCATAAGCGAGTTTCCGCTGTACCTCTCAGTTTCTCTGTGGTTTTTAATGGTTTTTAAGACCCTCATAACTTACAGTGCTTCAATATTGTTGACCATAATTTTTTTTTGTCTGTAGGCCTAATTATGCTGATGATATCAGCTGTTATTTAATGAGATTCTGTAATTTCAGCAAAATATTGTGAGAATCAACTAGACAAGTTGGGATTCAACGTCAGTGATTTACCAGAGAAATTAAGACAAGATTTAAAAGAGGTCTTTAAAGATGATGATGGGGTGAGTTTTGGTCTCTTTAAAGAAACTCAAATCATTAAATTGAATTTATTTACAGGTATATTGGATGGAATGCTTTAAGGTAATTACACAATAAAACATCCACTTATCTACCTATAAGTCTTTGCCGGAAATTCTGGGAATAAGGGTTGGCACACTCTATCCCGACCATGACCATGACCAAGACTCCGATTGGTCGGACACGGCCTGTTTTACAATAGGCGTAAATGGAACAGCGTGCACTGGTCGACTGGTCGGACCCTGGTCGCACGACCAAAGTCCTTGCAGTTTGGTCAGGTCCGACTCGCTGGCTGTTGCCGCCAAAAATAGCACACAATGTAATGGGACGACGCGCACTACCCCCCGACTTGTGTCCGACCTGACCAGTACACCAATCAACCCCCAGTATTCATAGATCAATCAAACGGTGAGCACTTGTTTTTGTGTGGTTTAAGTGACTTATTGAAGTATATTGAAGTGACTTATTTGTGAAGTCAGACATATTTTAATTCAGTTCCTTTTTAGTTACACATTCAACAACTCTAACTCGATCCTTGCAGCAGTCACACATCACCACTACACAAGATATTTGCACAATGTTGGATTATCTGTCCCTCAGCTACATAAGTCAGTTCTAACTACCAACTGTTTTTACGTTTCTCAGATTCTATATCGAAATCTAATTCAATAATATAATATCCAACACCTTTTTAGTTTACCCTCAATACAGAAATTCAAAAAAACAGATGCATGTTACTCCACATAATTACCAATGAAGAGGCCGAAACTTAGATCAGACCTAACCATACTTGACCCTGACTAAACAATCTTTGACCCTTCGACCCCCTCGCCCTAAGAATGTCTTCTGTCTTAGATCGTACTGTCTTTGGTTGTCATCGCCGACATTCTCTCATCCACAAAACAATTTGGTATAAAAGGCATAAAATTATTAAATTATTAAAAATCTTCCAAAATCAGTTTGTACCCTTTATTTTTTAGACTGATAACAGCCAGGCATACGCACATACACCTGTCCATGAAGGCCTATCCCATAAGTAAGGCAAATTTCAACTTACAAATGTTGTATTGTATTGTTGTATAACTACTCTCTGTTTTAGTTTAAATTTCTTGGGATAAGTAAACGTTTTTCATTTCATTTCATTTCAAAGACTTATTTTGTAAAATGTCGTAGGATTTTGAGAGTTTTATTTTAGCTATTAAAGAAAGGCCCTTTTTATGGAATCTATCAGCAGTAGATTATGCCAACAGAGGGATAAAGAAGGAAGCTTGGGAGGAGATCACACTGATGTTTGGTGGACGTGATGACGCTACTCAGAAGGAAAAGTCTCAGTTAACATTGGATGTACCCAGTATGGTTTTTTCTTCCGCTTAAAGTACCTACGATACAAATGCACAACAGCAGCTACTTCTTCAACATCCATCTTGACACCGAAGTTGGTAAAACATTCGTTGTCGTGGTTGGGTCTTGGTCGGGTCGTGCTCTGGTCGCATGGTGAACGACAACAACCGGTCGGGCGTTTGGTCGTGGTCGAGGTCGGGGGAGTGCATGCAGGCCCTTATGCGTAAATCTGCCGGAGAATAAAGGTAATTGTGTGGGGATTTTGAAATTTTACTTGGACAAACTGATTTCAGTCTGCAAGATAAAGACTATCTCCTAAGATTACAGCAAATACGTGAACATCTTTTCTCGTCACAGCAACATCATCGTCTCCCATGATCTTGATGAAATTGTCCATTTGGAACGCACACCTTGCAAACACTTTCCACGGTCGCGGAAATATGCATTCAATTCGACCCTATTGTTGATATGTTTTTCTTTTTGTGAAATAAATAAACTTCACTTGTTAAACGGGAGTTTTTTTGCTCCTCCATTTGGCCGTTTGGAGATGAGGGGTTCTACTGTAACGTTAAAGTCAATCACTGTTTGAGCAGTTCATTGTATGGCTGGTTAAGGAACAGAGTTTAACCCGGTAACTCGAGTAAAGCCTCGATCGCTATTACTAGTCAAGCCTAATAGCTGACATAATGTTGTCCGATTGAATGAATAGAGCTGTTTTGCAATTTACTTTGAAAGTTACAGTTGGTCATAGAATGAATCATGATGAGCAGAAATCAATTGAACTACTTTTAAGTACCTTTTGAGATATTTAATTCAGATCAGCTGTTTCATTTGTCAGGAACATTAAAATCAAATCAAATCAAAACATCAAACTATCAAAACATAAAAATAATATAAATAAATAAGCCGTACAACAACTCATCGGAAAAAATCATTGAGCTTATAGCAACACTTGTTACATAAAAACTTAAATAAACTTTTTTTAAATGACCTGAGGGAAGATGCAGACTTAATGCAATCAGGCAGGTTGTTATAAAATTTAATACCAGAGTAGTGGGGGGAAAGTTCAAAGGTAGAAGATTTGTGTTTGGGATATGTAAGGCAGTCTTTGTGTCTTGTGTCATAATTGTGGTTGTCTGAACTAACAGAAAATTTAGTGATGTTTTGTTTCATAAAAAATAGTAAATTATAGATGTAAAGGCTAAGAAAAGTAAGAATGTTATTGATTTTAAATATATCTTCACATGAATCTCTACTTTTGAGAGAATAAATTATTCTAATGATCCGTTTTTGCAATTTAAATACCTTTTTCTTTTTGTCAGAATTGCCCCAAAAAATGATTCCATAATTATGAATAGGATAAACATACCCATAGTACACCATCATCAGAGTGGAGACATCTACTGATCTAGATAAAATAAGAATTGAAAAATGTTCAACTTTTTTATAACTTCTGCAACGTGAGTTTTCCAGGTTAATTTATTGTCTAAAGTTATCCCTAAAAATTTGGTACATTCAGAAAAACAGCATGGTATATTGGTGTTATCATATTGGAAATTTTTATTGTGGTATTTTTTTTTAAAGTTGATTAAAAGTGACTTAGAGTGATTCAATAATAGCCCATTAGCTTGAAACCAAATTTCTAGCTTATAGAATTCTTGTTTTATCAGTTGTGGAAACCTTGATTTGTCAGGATGGGTAAATATTGCAGAAGCGTCGTCAGCAAACATTACTAATTTGGAATCTAAGGCCATAGGCAAGTCATTTATATAAATCAAAAAGAGCAAGGGTCCAAGAATAGACCCTTGCGGAACACCTTCTGTGATGAATTCATAATCGGACTTAAGCCCCAGTGACTGCAGCCTTATACACTGTTTTCTATGTGATAAAAAAGAAACCAACAATTTAATAGTCCTGCCCGATATACCATAAAACTGCAACTTACGGATCAGGATATCATGATTTACACAATCAAATGCCCTTGACAGGTCACAGAAGAGACCAGCTACATTCTGCGAACTGTCAAGAGCATCCGCTACCTCAGATACAAAGCTAAATATGGCATCTACAGTGCTTTTACCTTTCATGAATCCATACTGATTTATGTTAAAAAGTTGACAATTGTTAAAGAAATCATATAACCTATTATAAACTACCTTTTCAAAAAATTTGGAAAATGCCGGCAGTAATGAAATTGGCCTATAATTAGCTAAATCTTTTGGATCTCCTTTTTTTAAAATTGGTATTACGTTTGACAGCTTTAATAAATCTGGGAACACTCCTGTATAAAGAGAAGTGTTAATTAAATGAGCAAGAGGTGTTGAGATGAGAGATGAGCATTGTTTTAAGATAAAAGGTGATATTTCGTCCCATCCTGAAGATTTAGAAGGTTTTAAATCATTAATTATTTGCTGAACTTCTTGAGGATCTGTCATTTTGAATGATATTAACATGGATTCAGGATGGATTCCTTGTTCTAAAAATTTGATTGACTTATCAGCATCAGAACTTATATTTAAAAGCTTACAAGTATCTATAAAGAAATTATTGACTATATTTAACTGATCCTTAATATTTATAGATTGAGACAAAAAAGGAAATCTGTTCTTGTTACTAGCAGCAGTATTTGTTTCTTTTTTCACAATCTGCCAGGCAGTTTTAGTCTTATTTGAAGATGTTTTAATTTTATTTCTGTGGTATGAAATTTTAGCTAATTTTATACATTTACTTAGAACTTTGCTGTATTTTTTAACATAATTTTTAAAAGGAGTGCTTGAAGAGTGTTTACTAAGATCATAGAGCTCTCGTTTGCGTTTACTAGATTTTCTTATCCCAATTGTTAACCAACCTTTATCATTATTCTGACTAACACTATCTCTAGACTTAACAAATGGAAAACAAGCATCAAAATGTAGTTTAAACATATGTAGAAAACTCTTATGAAGAATATTTACATCAGATGTTAAATACAGATTCTGATAGAAACAAGACCAATCCTCTGATTTTAAAACATTAAGGAAGTTGGAAATATTTACCTTAGAAAAATGTCTCACAAATATTGTTTTTTTGTTAATAACAGGTTCCTTATGTTTTCTAATGATAGACTCACAATTCACATTAAGATGCTGAGTAAGGTGGTCAGATAAACCATTTTGTACAACATAAGACATACATATATTAGGGCTGAAATTGGTAATAATATTATCAAGACATGTACTGGAGAGAGTTGAAACCCGAGTGGGGACCTTTATTGTTTCAAAAAGTTTGAAAGAATTTAATAATGAAAGGAATTCTTCAGTTTGAGCATTAGATTTTAGAATATTAATGTTAAAATCTCCCGTTAGTACAATAAAGGATTTAGGATTCTTCAAAATAGAGTATTGTAATAGAGAACGCAAGCCATCAAAAAAAGTATCATATGCAATTTTGGTATAAACGGTAGGTCTGTAGACACAGAGCACAATTAAATCAAGCGGATGAGTGATCTGAACACCACAACATTCAAAATATGAGTCAACTGTAAATTTTCCAAGATCAGGCCTAATTTTAATTTTGAAATTATTATTTACCAACACACAAACACCTCCTCTTTTTTGTTTATCTCTGCAATAAGAACCGCCCAATTGATATTCATCGAATTGGAACAGTGGTATTTGGCATGAGTAAGGAACCCAGTGTTCGGAGAAACAAACTATATCTGGTTTTGTGGAAAAGGAATTAATGTAAAGATTTATTTAATCAATTTTGTTGCTCTGGGTTATCCCTTGAATATTACAGTGCACGATGTTGAGGTATTTAAGTGCTTGTGTGTCAGCAGTGCTTACGTTTGAGGAATTGGTCTTAGAGTTTGTTCTTATACATTTTTTTGCACGACTTTTCTTTTCCTTAAAAAATATTTCATATTACCTTGCTTACTATTTACATTACTAAAGCTTTTATCAACTACAGTGGATTCATATTCTACAGAAGTCAAGGTCTTGGGTATTTCATCTCCATTTCTATGTGGTGTGTTGAGGTCACAGTGGAGTGAGGAGTCTGGAGTTGTTACTTGTGTGTCTTGATCAATTGCATTGGACATCGAAGAAGTAGCATCCTGAGTTCCGATCGCTTTTGCAGGTAGATCCGTAGGTTTGAGCTGTTCAGGTTGACTTTCGATGGAATTAGACGTGGAAGGTTTACAGTTAGTAGTTTGAGATGTCTGTTTATTTACATTGACACTTCTGTTGATTACTGAGGATGAAACTCCCAATGATAAAGGAGAGTTCAGCCCAGTTTTGAACAATCAAAAACCTACTGACTTGTCTCAAGGTCAAACTGGTGTTCTGATAACTTAGCGGGCACTCTAAATACTCGGCTGCTATATCCATACTAAGTCACTTTTCACAAATAGGCAAGTCATAACGTTAACAAATACCAGAGAACTTAATAATCTGGCTTCCACTTATGTTTCTTAAACACCATTACTCCTACTCTATCCGAATAAGGATGTAAATATGTATTTCATGGTATCAACCTGTAATTAGCTTGGTTTCCTTGGAATCATACAAGCAAACGATACGCCAGTAAACTCCCGCTGACGACTAGGACTATGATTAACTAGCAGTATTAAACTTGCTCAATGTCACTAGCAAACAAGTATTTACAAGCAGTGCTAATTTTACTTCCAGCTAATGTTTGGTTTACACTGCACTAATTTACTAATAGCTTGAGAATTAGCACTAACACTAGCGATAGCTGATTGAAGCATGATATTTTTTCCCTTCTAGAAATAATCTGGTATTTTGGAAGTTACTGTTAGTATCCTTTGCAAATCTGTTGTTTGATAACAAAAGACTATAACTAAAAATTCTGTGACTAAGTTTTTATACAATTTTCTCTTTGTAAAATATTTACTCCCATTACAGGTGTTCAACTTTTCACAAACAAGTAACGAGTTGGTGACGATCAACGCAGATCATGTGTTTGACAGCCTCCGAGAAAACTATGAGTTGGCACAACTGCGTATGCTTCAGAGTCAGATGGAGACGTTAGTGGAGGAACACAGTCGGCTAAACAACAATCTTCAACGGTCAGTGTTTAAAGGCCATATACCATTTCTGTGTTAACCCGTTGGCTCCGACTTACGAGCGTTACTCGTACAGCCGCTGCAGGCCCAGCGACTGACTTACGAGTGCCGCTTGTGATACCGCTACGCAACGCCACTAGTTATGTTATTATTTTTTTTTTTTTTTACAGTTTGATTATCCAGTTACCCCTTTTTTTTTAGATAATTTTACTGTGAACAAACTGGTGAACCAATTATTAATTTATTACCTAAGATTTCCTTTCTATAACAATTAAGAGTAAGAGTCTACAAATTCGGTAAAATTAATTGCCGACAGAGGATGTAAGAATAATTAATATGCTATCCACTGGACATTTTATCCTTGCAGATTATTGAGACTTCTTAGCCTAAGTTACTCTCATATTGACCTCAACTATACAAAATGTTCTTTTTGTAATTTGTTCAATAAATTCTTGATTCTTCTAATTCTCTTAGGGACTACAACTCCCTACTTGTCTGAGTTACTAATACATAGCTTAGTACACTTAAACCCTTTTAAGCCATTATTTTAAAGCACCTCATGAAAATTTACTTTCTATAAGTAACAGTAGCTCGGTTCTCTTTAAAATTGTGCTTTTAAATTCTACTAGTAAATAAAACTAAGGTGCTATTGTTTACACCTTAGAGAAATGACTACGAAAAAGAGTGAAATTTATGCATGTCATGGAACTTGTGTGTTTTACAGAAAATTAATTACTGAAAAAGAAGAATCGGAAAAGTTAGAAAATAAACGATTTGAGAAAGAAGCAAACATAATGATGTTTAACCAGAGGTTGGAAGCTGCCAAATGGGAACTAAATAATCTGCAACAACTGTCCCAGGTAGGTTGAAACCCTCATTGATTTTTAATTTTCCCCTATTGGAAAAATTATACGGAGAAACTATTTTTTTTTTTAAACTTTTGAGTTTTGGAGATATTCATATTTGGCTCCCCTCTCATATTAGGCCTCAACTCAAAAAAGTGGTTTTTGTAGCGAGATCTGTGTGTGGGTATAATGTGGATCACAAGGTGTTTTATCAAATTTTTTGAAATTTTGATTTTTAATGGTAAATATTTTGTGAAATCCATAAAATAAAAGAAAAATCAGACTCACAAAAACAGCTTAAACAATTTTGAGTGATATGATCCTTTTAACTCTAAACAAAATGGTACCACCCCCAATTCTGTAAAAATTACGGTTCAAAGTAATTGCAATGTTTGTGATTTTACCCATTAAATATTATACTTACTCCCACCACATTTTAAGGATTGTTCACAAGCTAATGGGAGAAAGTCTTTGTCGGTTTGTTGATACCATTATTTATTTTAACTTTAACTCTTGATTATCAGTAGCCTCTCAACTCTTCCTGTATGGGTGACTGATATACCCGCTTTAGGTATTTGCATTGAAAGACAGGTGTTGGTTATAAGTTATAAAAGATATCCTCAATTTTTGTTGGTGTTGTGGACGTAAAGCAGACATTTCTACCACTTTTGTAGACCGACTGGTTAGCTGGTTCGCAGTACTATGGGACTATACGTGGTATTCCACCCTTCCTAGGCTCAACACTTGCAAGTTTTAATTGGACAACTTTTTGGAACTTTTATCTTGTTAAAGTCTTTCATTATGTTTTTTTCTTCAAATAAAGTCCCATAAAAATTTAAACAATTCCTTTTTGAGTTGAAATAAATTAAAAATTGCTAGAAATTAAAATTATATTTGAATTTGTTTAATTGTTTGCTCACTGTAGGTGCACAATCCCTCTGAAAGGTTAATTGTACTTAGTGAATTAAGATTGTTAAAACCAATAAAAGTTAATTTTATAATTTATGAATTTCTATACTGTCATTCACCTTAATTGTGTTTGCAAATAATTCTTTTGAAATCAATTTATCCGTTTGAATTGGTTTTGATGAACATAGATTTTTGTTTATCTTAATGCCTTGAGCATTTTTTTGCAAATTTAGTTCTAAACCGCCCAAGCCTAGGTCGTGTTGATAAAATCTAATATTGTAAATTTTGTAGAATGCACCATTAATTAATAGCCCCATAAAGTTTGTCTACATACAAAAATATCAAGCTCAGGAACTGAAACTTTGCTACCCAACAGTGGTTATTGTTTACGGTTTTCACAGAATTTAGATGTGTAACGTACAATCAAAACTAATTAAACATGCGATATTCTTTAGGGAAACCAAAAACCGAAGTATAGTGTGGAAGAGCTTGATAATTTGAGACAAGAAGTACAAAAACTGAAGATAGAGATAGCCCATACAGAGGCAAAACTGAAGAAATACAACAAACTCCCATTGAGTGAGAAGGATGCACTAAAGTTGTTAACCAGGATGAAAGACGACATCAAGATTGTAGACAAAGAAATTGAAAATAAAGTTTTGGTCTAGGATGGCTTATATTGTTTCCTTTAATCTAAATATGTAAGATCGGTCTTCTGTGACCGTGGCAAAATTGTGAATACTTCCCGCAATTACGGAAACATCATTGTCTACTGTGATTGCAGCAAAAACCCAGGACACATCTTGTGGTCGTGTAGACAAGATCATCAGCTCCTGCGATCGAGGCCAAATCCTAATACAAAACGTGATGACGGAAACATCATATTATGTTACCGGTTACCGTAATCATAGCAGAATCCAAAATGTATCCCGCGGAAAAAGAAATGTCATCATCGTCTTCTGTGATAGTGTCAAAATCTTGAACATCTCGCTCGGTCACAGAAATATTAATATCGTCTCCCCCGATCATGTGGACATCATTTCTTAAAAAAGTGGTTTCTTTAAAAAGTAACTACCAATCATATGACAACAATCAATTCATCCATCAATATCCTACTCGTTTTAAAAATAATTTGAAATATCCAAGACATTGCCTCTGTCTGTATGAAAGATCACCATTTTATATGAGTCTCAGGCTTTACAACAGTCTACCTACCAAATTCAGACAAATTAACAATATTTCAAAATTCAAAAGCGAGTTTAAAATGAATCTCTTCCAAATGCAGTTTGAATCTGTTTCTGAATATTTGAATAACAGTTAAACATTTTTCTATTACATTTATTTAGTTTATAGGAATGAATTGTAAATCTAGTTTTAACTAGGTGGCGTTCGCAGAGGCATCCACAAAATTGAGCGGAGTCATCAAGGGTTCATATTATATTGTTTTTGTAATACTGCAGTAAAAACAGTCGTCATTGGTGCATGCGTTGCGAGTCTAAAGTAGCATTTTTATTCTTTAGGGGAAACGATAAACGATTGCATGTATTGAAATATGTATCGATTCGTGCTTCGTAATCATTTTAACCTACAGTCTACAGTCTCTTCCCATAGCATTTTAGCATTGCAGATAAATTAATCCATTCCCACACTCTACACTGCTCACCTTTACTACTTCCTTCACCACCCCCTACGACGTGGACCTGTTTCCCTCTCTTCCCATAGCATTTTAGGATTTCAGATACATTAATGTAATTGCCAAAGACAGTTCCCACACTCTGCACTGCAAGCCTTACTACTTCCTTCACCATTTCCTACGTCATAGACCTGTTTCTTTCTCTTCTCATAGCATTTTAGGATTGAAGATAGGCCTACATTAATCTAACTGCCACAGACGGTTCTCACACTATGCTCCTACTTTACTATTTCTTAAGCCACGTCCTACATCGTGTACCTGTTTTCATCACTTTCCATAGCATTTTAGTATTTTAGCTACGTTAATCTAATTGCCACAAACATTGACCACACTCCGCACTGCTAGCATTTAATACTTCTTTCACCATTTTCTATGTCGTGGACATGTTTCCATCCCTTCTCATAGCATTTCAGCATTGCAGGTATATTAATCTAACTGCTACAAACGGTTTCCAGTTCCCACACTCCACACTGCTCACCTTACTACTTCCTTCACCTCTTCTTACGTCGCGGACCTGTTTCCCTCTCTTTCCATAGAATTTTAAGATTGTGGATACCTTAATCTAACCGTCATAAACAGTTCCCACACTCCGGACAGCTCGCCTTGACTACTTTCTTCACCACTTCCTACGTCACGGATCTGTTTCCCTCCCTTTTCGTAGCATTTTAGGATTGCAGATAACTTAATCTTATCGTCATAAACAGTTCCCACACTCCGGACAGCTCGCCTTTACCTGTTTCCCTCCCTTTCCATAGCATTTTAGGGTTGCATATAATTTAATCTAATCGTCATAAACAGTTCCCACACTCCGGAGAGCTCACCTTTACTACTTCCTTCACCGCTTCCTACGTCACGGACCTGTTTCCCTCCCTTTCCGTAGCATTTTAGGATTGCAGATAACTTAATCTAATCGTCATAAACAGTTCCCACACTCCGGACAGCTCGCCTTTACCTGTTTCCCTCCCTTTCCATAGCATTTTAGGATTGCAGTTATACCTTATTCTAATCGTCATGAACAGTTCGGTCAGCTCGCCTTGACTACTTCCTTCACCACTTCCTACGTCGCGGACCCGTTTTCCTCCCTTCCCATAGAATTTTAGGAATGCAGATACCTAAATCTAATCTTCATAAACAGTTTCCACACTACAGACTGTTCACCTTTACTACTTCCTTCGCCACTTCCTACGTCACGGACATCAAACTCAGGACTATCTCAAGCTAGTGTCGTCATTTGATTATATTTATGATCCATACCGTTTCTGTTCTAATATCTGTGGAATAATGCTATCAGCTATTTCTTTATCTACTGCATTCAAAAGTCAACAGCTGATCATATGACTTTGTTTATGTGTCAAATACTGTTTCCATAAGGATTATATTGAAACTTTGAGACCCAGTGGGGCGGATTCCTGAGAGACTTTTTTAACGCCATATAGATGTTGGCACTCACCGATATGGTCTTTATCACTATTCAAAATTTGAAAACAATTGATTCAGCCGTCTAGGAGGAGTTTGCGTATTACGAAATGCATAAGAGTCGACGTATAAGAGCTTCGCTCGCTCCGCTCAATAATGGACAAAGTCACCTGTTTCATCAGCATTTCTGAAAACTTGAAATGTATTGTGATAATAAAGTAATATTTCATTTCATCATTATCCTCTCCCGCAGTAGCGGCAAAAAATGAAAGTGCCCCGCGGCCGCAGGGACATCAGCATCGTTACCCACTGAGGAATGTTCTTGTCAACATCTGCTATCGCTTAGATCTTTCTATCCCATGGGCGTAAGAGTTTATTGTGTTGAATCAGCATAGAGGGGCCTCTCTAGTGTGAACCGCCGTGGGCCACATTGATTCTGAATACGGCCCAATTTTAGCGACTTCACGCAGGCCACGAGGACAGTTGATGCAACCCACATGACTGCAGAAAATTTAAAATTTAGGCTGGTAAAAAATTTCTATCGATCGGTCAAGTAGTAAAAGTTTAGCTGTTGTAAACTACTTGCCATAGCGCTCTTACTGATTTTAATCAATTTTCTTCATAAATAACGTGTGTTAATATTCATATAAATATCGGGCCTGTGTCGCAGGACCCGTCGCAGGTTTTGGGTCCCACTTGTTCTAGTCTCGCGGGCCCTAGCCCTGGTGTGTCAGCATCGGAAATCTCTCTAAACCTTTAAAAGTATATGCGCTGTTGGTGGGGGGGGGGGGGGGTGCGACATAATGATGCTCTGTCGAGTCCCTGGACACTCAGAAATACAAGGCAACAAGGTGACAAACTTGGCCTCAGACCTTGTGGAACCAGCAGAGCCTTTTTTGGAATCTCCTGTGGGTCTGCAGGTAGGTTCACGAGGAGCACAAGAGGATGGCAATGCTTCACAGGGTTAGCAAGGTCCCTCTATTGCTCCTCTACTCAGATAGTCGCCCAAACATTCTATTATAAACGATTATAAACGAGGCAAGTAACACTGATCACAGCAATGATCAAGGACAATGCAAACGGGGAGTGCTACAAGTGGCTAACATGCCTAAGGACATGGTCCGCCTCGACTCAGTCATTTAATCAGGTATAAAGTGGTCGCGCATTTGCGTAGGCCTAAATTTCCTTCAGAGAAACTAGCCCATTCTGCCTTGGTAAAAAGCAACTCCAAATCACTTACATATAAAAATCTTTATTAAATAATTTATGCACAGGCTACGTACAGTCTGAAACGTCACACTCTAAAACAACATTCAACTTAAGTACACGTAAACTAAGCGCAGACCACTACTGCAGGTCTGGGAAATGTTACAATATTTTGATTATGTTCACACTCGTGACACGACGTAGACGGCGAAGAGGAGTGGCAGGATGGCAGCTTGTAGACCCGACGCACCATTCTTGGAACACTCTGCGGGCTTGGTGCCGGGGATCTTGCTGCATAGGGCCTTGCGGAAGTCACTCACTGCGGCATCATGGTCAGCCTTGACGAATTTCTGAAAATTAGAGGTATTGTCAGATTTAAACATTTCCAGAGGTGTGCACAAATTTGCTAGTACTAAAGTTGTCAAGTATTTTTGAGTGAGTATTTCAGTTCTGTCCTCAGCTTGACTTGAACTTTTCAAGAAAACACAATGAGCCACTTGGTTTAGCAAGGTTTTTTGGAACCATTTATTTACATTAGTATGTCATAATCTTAACAAGTTATTATAACTCTTACAGTCAACTGAAATTAAAACATGTTAAAAATAAAGTTGTTAAAGCTATAAAGAGAATTATAAATTGCTTGGTTGTAGCAAGACATATGCTCTCATTCGGATATCTCAGGCCCAGACCTTATTTGATAAGAAATAGTGGTAACAGTAAAAAAGATACTTCAAAACTAAATGGTCATTGTATTAAATGTAAATAAGATGTGGAAAATCTGTAACCTTAGTAGTTATACTTTTAGAATAAAAGTGAATGGTAGTTGAATGAAAAACTGAGGGGTTGTTAGGATTTTTGTGAGGATAGGGTTACCTGAAGGAGAAAAAGTCCAAACTGGCACAAGAAACACAACACTTTACATTGTACACAAAACATTAGAATATTTCACTGTGACTGACAGCGACAGCATATTCAAATTAATAAGAAAGAGGTTTTTCTTCAGGTCTGAGACTCTCTCTCTTCCTTAGTTGAAAATGGTGTCAGTGACAGCAAAATATTCTAATGTTTTGTGTATATTATGTAAAGTTTGGTGTTTCTTGTGCCAGTTTGGACTCTTTCCCATCCAGGTAAGCCTGCTATCCCGAAAAAAAAACCCTATAAAACCTTGGCCCTTGTGTTCTATTGTAACATTAACACACAATGTAAGAGGCTCATGTTCTCTTGAATCAAATAATTGGATACAGATGGGATGTCTACTGTGGTAATGTTTCTTTGGACAGGCCCAAGGCCCATGAGAATGAGCAAAACTGATCTAAACAAGAGTGAATAGTTCTAGTTTTGAATTTGAAACTACTGAATTTTCTATCAGACTAATACTTACGTCACCAAAGACGATGGTAGGGACGTTCTGGAGGTTGTTGGGGAACATTGCTGTGGTCATGTTGCCGTACATGTCCAATAACTTTGAGCCTTCTTGGCCGGCCGCACATCCGCTCACCTTCTCAACAGTCAGACTGCCGCTGACGCACTGCAAACGTTGTGAATTATTTACCAATACTTGCTCCATGGAATTTCCACAAATAGGTACCTAGTTTGAGTCATTTCTACTAGGGAATCGGCAACGTTATCACTAGCTTTTAACTAACTATGTTGTAAAATAACAAAGTGTAGTTACAGTAGCAAGTGAACAAGGGATAATAAGGATTTATCTTGATCCTCAGGACCCTTTCTGTTGATACTGTTCAATGAAATGGCAACCATACATAGTAGGTATTTTAAGCCAAGTATAAATGGAGATGATTCATTCACCGTGGCAAGCCGCAGTGGTTTTGTAAGTGCTTTGCCGTAAATGGATGCTTTTATTAAAAAAGGAGTACAGTAGTACCAGATGTGGTGTTTGTGAACCCTTATTTATATGAAACATTTTTACCATAAAATTTATGAAATTAGAAAATGTATATTATTATTTATTACAAACTACTCTTTGACTTACACAAATTACAGCCATACATGTATAGTAATCCCTGTAGTACATTTCTGGCAAGAAAAATAGTTATGTTAAATATTCACATTCTTTGGTTAAATGAAACTGTAGAGAAACTACTTCATAGGTTACATAGCTAAAGATGCTATCACCACTAATCACCAATTTTAAAATTAGGTTTTTGTTCATGTGAAATTAAACAATAAAAGTTAATGTGAATATGGGTAGCTTAAATATCAATCAGAAGATGTATGTTAGTAGAGTTGCCTATATTTGACATTATTAGAACTATAGTCCGTTCACAAAATTTACGCCGCTTGAGGGTAGTAAGTTCCCCCACCACTTATTTTCTGCTTAACCCTTAGAGTGCCAGGCGAGAAATAAAAGTAACGCTCAAAAAATGCCGATGATTTTTCCCGAAGGTCGCGCTAAAAATGCCGAGCGCGATCTGGCGATTTTTAGGTTAAAATTTCGTAAAAATCGAATTTTCGATATTTTGACCAACGAAAATTGATGTATCGCATCTAGTAACTTTCGACTCAATGTTAATATATGGGTTAAAAGAATCCGAGTATCCATTCGGTTGTTATGACAACTGTTCGATCATTACGAAACGTCCGGTCAGCCGGACGTTGGCACTTTTGGCTCGTTCTAAAAACGTCCGGTCGGCCGGACGTCGGCACTTTTGGCTCGTTTTAAAAACGTCCGGTTCCCCGGACGTTGGCACTCAAAGGGTTAATATGTTGCAGCTGATGATTAACATTTGACTAATCTCAGTTATGTTTTAATGGTAGGAACAAGACGTGGAGGCCGGAGGGTATAGATTTCTTCTGCTAAAATTGTCTAAATTTTGTGAACGGAGCTTAGTTTTGGAGGCAACATAACTATGAACTTTACCATGCAAATCCTCAACAGAATATGTTTATTATTTTTAGTACTTTTACTGAAGTTAACGATGAACTCAAATCCAGCAACAAGCAACTCACCTCATTCACAGGGTAGTCTTCTTTCTTGGGGTTGCTTGCAATGATTGAACTGGTACAGTTGATAAACTTGAACTGGTCGGCAAAGCTGATGCTCTCATCCAAGACGCAAGCAATCACCTTGTTGCCCTTACATTCCTTCTCCCCATGATGGCATACGAACGTCACATTCGAGTCCTCTCGTGTTGTCTGCAACAAATTAAAAGATAATTACATGAATTGGATACAATTTCAACTCGTAACCTTAAACAGAAATGGATTTGAGTTAAAATTTGAGGATTTTATAGGAGTTGTTGTGGATGTGAACTATTTTTGACTAAGCTTCTGTCAAGTATGTCCAAACATAAAAACTGCATGTCTCCAATATTTTTTGCAATGATAATTAACTTAAAGGCTGCACCCAACAACTCAAATTTATTATTTTGTTTTCTGCATCAGTGGCATCTTTTATTTGATTTTGATGTTTGTTTAAAAGATACACATACCTATAATATCTCAATTTCACAAACATTTTTATCAAATCCATAGTAAGTACCTATGCTTATGTGCTATTTTACATACAAATTAACTTTAAAGCGCCAATTACAACTAAAATCTTAATAAATAACTTGAGGAGACCTATGTGTGCAAATTGCACATTTTAATAGTTCTCAAAACTTGTTTCCAAGCAAAACAAATCCGCCTTATACCTTTTTACCTTTCAAAGATTATGTTTTAAGACAGCTATTAGATCAATAAAAATACTTATTTACAATTAATAAAAATTTTGGATTTTATAGACTGCAAGTCCTTCCACATCACTGGCTTTTAAAAGTGAATTCAAGAAAATAAATAAAACACAAGAAGGGTGAAGCCCTAAAGCAAAATTACCATTTGTCCCTCTCCTAGATCAGTTTCATAATGACACCTCAATTATTTTATAGATCGGTTAAGTCGGATGGCTAAAACAGGCATGTTACATAGAAAACCCTTAGATAGAAGATTCAAGATACTTACAGTTGCTTTGCCGTAGGGCACCAACGTCAGGTTGAGGTATTGGCCCATTGGTCCGGCAAAGACAGGGTACAGCTGCTTTGTGAGGAACTTTACGCTGTCAGGACAGTAGGACTCAAAGTATACAGAGACTTTCACCTTCTCCTGCAAACATTACATTCCGTTAAATCAAACTGGAAAACAGATCAACTTATTAGGTTAAATGACATTGAAACACGTGCATTATACAGAAAATTTCTGCGGAAAAAAGTTGAAAATGAAAATCTCAAGTTTGCACACTTCTAAAAGGATCTGTTCAAAAGGCATTCAAATTACGCTTTTCTGCTTAAAATTATTTAAAAAGTTGAAGCGACCCTGACCTCCCTGCAGTCTACATTCCCCAAGAAGAAAATTCAGTGTTAACAATTAACATGTGTGTAAACTTGTTTTGACTTAGGGAAATACAGTATGCTTAGTTCTACCATTGATAGTCAAAGGTTCTACTTTCACTTGAAGTACCTACAGGTATTTTGGGAATGTGAGATTGATTCAAACATCATGTTAATTGTCATACATGTTGTGCCGAACTGTTCTAGCAACAATTGTTAAATCTTCAGTACATTTTACTTATTTCTGTAAAATTCAGAGAAAACTCAATTACATGAGTGTGGAGTCCAAATAGATGATTTTTATATAAATTATAGAAAATATAAGTTTGAGTTAAAATCTAAGACACCCATGGAGTAGGAATCATCACTTCGGACAGTAATTTTCCACAGTGGATTACTGAGGAATTCCCCACTAGGAACTACTCGCGAATTAAAGGTTCCAGGGATCTACTGTAGGACCAGAAGAGTCATTGACCCCCCCCCCCCCCACCACACACACACACACACAGAACACCTGTAGTGTGGGAGAGAGACGGAAAGTGAGGGTTCAGGTTGTGGTTGTAAAAGGTTTGTCTCTGGAAGCCTATAAACTACAAACTACATTACTTTTCTGAGCATCCCACTTGTATTGCTCCTGAAAATATTCTAAGGTTCTACAAAACAATTAATTATGGAACTTGTTGTGTCTTTACATCACAGAAAACATACTATACTATGTTTTCTGTGCTTTACATTGAATATTGAAACGTCAAAATGTAATATAGGATATGCTAATACATAGTCAAGAATAACAATTGATTTTACATGCATCAAATCAAATTGTTATAATTTTTCGATTGACCTTTTAAGGGAACTGGAAAAATGATCAATAATTGTAAATTTTATTTGCCCTTTTTGAGCGATTTTTTAATTGTCTTGTTATTGCTGTCAAAAGATATGTAGGCCTATTGAAACTGACATAGTATATACAAACTGTAGTTGATTTATTAGGTACTGCAATCCCACCTAAAACTTAATTTACCGATCAGCACAAAACGCATTAAAGGAAATACTCTTTGAGGTTGTAGAAATACCATTTTGAGTTTTACTGAAAACAAATTACCAAAACCACAAACAAAATATTCTAAAATGCAATGGAGTAAAGGAAGCAGGGGTGTCAACATGCGATCTTGTTTTGTCCCTAAACAGTAAATATCTGTACTTTAATTTGGGTTGTGTTAAAAAAAATACCCCGTACATAAATTCTGCTTAAAATTATAGCAACGATATGGAACATTGTCGAATTTTTTTAGATTTTTTTGTTAGAAAATTTTTTTTTCCTAACAATCTTAGGTAAACAATGAAACACAATGTATGATATATTGGAGATATCAACGTTTGGTTTGACAGTGCTCGCGTATGCAGAGGTGCAATAGTGTAGTGATAAAACTAAATCAGCATCATTATCGGTACTTTAGTTTATTCCTAAAAGAAGCCTAATTGAGTTACTTAACACAATCCAATCTTAGTAATTGTTATGGAATGTGTCAACTTTTATAGTTATTAAATCCAGTGCTATTTTATTAGTCGATGATAAATGATTTACATTTTAAAAATCAGTCTCTTTCATTCTATCTACCTAAACGTGTTTCATAATTACAATAGTTTATTTATAATATTCAACAATATTTAGCTCAGGATTCTCATCGTTCAAAGATAATGAAAATCCTACACAAACGAGACAACAGCTATACCCCTGGTTCTGCCTCATTCTAGCCTGCAACTCAGTATAGTCACAGAAAACATACTACTATAACCGTATGTTTTCTGTGTTATAGTAGACGAAGAAACATTGAAGTTAGTGGAAAATACAGCAAAATCTGCAAATCCACTGCAAGTGTTCGAAATCAGCTGTTTGTAACAATGCTTACTCTTCTTATGCTGCGAGGGCTCAAGACATTCAATGGTAGCATTTCCATATGAACCATCTCAGTAACGAGGCCATTATGGCAAGATCGTGCTCGACTCCCAGTGTGTACTACGGCCACAACAGAGAGCGCCACCAGAGGTGAATGACCGCGCGGTATGCATTACAGTACATTTTGTTCAAATTTAACGGAATCGGGTATTTTTTTTATTTATGGATAAGGAATATAGAATGTTCGCCTTATTGGTTTCCGTTGTCTTAAGTTGTTTACTTTGTATTGACGTTTGCATCCGATTGTAAAATTCGAAGTTTAACTAGTGTGAGTTGTTTTGAGTGAGCTGATTCAGATTTAGGTTTTCATTTTATTCAGGGATTTTACGGTTCATGCTACCTATGTTTAACACCATTGCATTAGATACGATTTGATGTAACTATTGGAACAGTGGATCCCGAGTGATGTTCACCATTGATCCACAAGACAATAGGACGTGCTCTGTTTTAATCCTTCACTTGCATAATTTATATTGAGACAGACTTCTTCGTTCCACCACTAAAACATACATTACTTCTTTTACGCTTGTCGAATTTCTAAATTTTCAGGAGAAATTGCATTATCCTAGTATCTATTATTTATTGGCTTGATGACGAAACCATTCGATTTGTACAAATATAATACTAATTGTTTCACCCTAACTTAGAAAGGGCGAGAAAAATAGCAGAAGGTAGGTATAGTGCATGTAGGAGGAACTGGTACGGTACTGGAACGAAGAAAAATAACACTGTCACGTAGAATAGAATAATTAATTACTAATAAAACTTCAAGATCGGCGAAGTTAAAAATGTGAAGAGTGCGACTTTTCTTGACGTTTTCCTGTATACTGATTGCTAAAATACTTCTCTAAGCTTTACTTGGAACTTATTTATATCTAGGGTAAAGTTCAAGGTCTAAATATCAAAACGCCAATAAACCTCTCTACCCCATACAACAATCCATATTTGTGTTTGTTGTATACTGTATAATTACGTTTTTCCATTCTAGTGAGGTTAAGTAAACAATCCATAAAATCCAAACTTTAAAATGTACTGGATTAGCCATGGCTGTGCTAGTGTTAGCTGCTTATAGAATATCGACCCCACAACTCTGTGTAGTTCGTTTGCCATTTGTCCATTACTCCCATTGTTCCTACCGCCATTATCGATCGAGTTGCAACCACTCTGTTAGTTTTACCTGACATTGAGTCTAATTAAATTCATCTTTAATCAATAACGGCAAGTGGCGTTTCAATTTACTGTGGATGTACTTAGCTTATTAGCGCCAATCAAAAATGAGTATCAGTAGATAATTAAAATCCAAGCTTGGTGATTGTTAGCTACATTTGAGATAATATTGGAGTAACTATTGTTTCAATGGCTCGACGCATGCGAAACGCAGCTTTATTTTCACCCAACACAAAGACCTGACCTCACAATGTTAATTAACTAATTACGTTAGAAAAGTGAAATGTTTCTCATTCAATACGAAATAGAAGTTTATATAACACAAGGATACAATAGGTGCCAACAGAAATATCGTTGGTGACATGGCATGGTGTTATGTTAGGGAGTTAATTTCGTCAAAGATTAATATGCACAACATCCGTATCGGTCAGCTAAAATTATATAAGATTTGTTTATGCTCGATAACGCTTTATGTCTTATATTTAGAGTATTTTACTATCTATAAGTAGTACAGAATACTGTTTCTCCATTGAGTTTTCTAGGTGAACACTTATTGTTTTAAATTGTGGAAGATATATATATAGGGTTTATTTTTACAAGGATCGCAAAAAAATAAATTTGCCCTTGATGCTTCCTTAACAAAAAAAAAAAAAAAATGAGTTTTTTCAGTCCTCTTCCCAGTCCCTCTTGATCACTATATAAGTTCAATTCCAATAACTCCACACTCCCCAGTTATTTCAACAACTTATATAATACTATGACAAATTAACAGAGGAGACACATCTTGTGAACTACTACTTTATTAGTCCTCTAGTATCATGAGCAAACAGGCGAAGTATGGGCATTCAGTTGAGATCGACATACTTATAGTCTGTAAGATGCTGGTACCTGTATCCTGACCCTCCGGGCCAATCCTACGTAAATGGTGGGTTAGGAGACAGGTTCCATCATACAGACTATAACCGTGACAAGACATGAAACTGGCACCAAAGCTCCAGTTTGTAAAACAGGATGAGAATATCTTAGAAAGTTCCCAAACAGAGCAAGTCTCGTCGCTCAACGGTTTTAATGTAATACCATAGATAAAAGGAGTATCCTTTTATCTATGGTATTTCTTAGCACGGATTTAGACAGTAGACATTTTTGGAAGAAACCTCAACAAACAAACACAGTCTGGAAACTGGTCCCGGTCCGGTACGGGATCCAAAGATAATTTGGCTGTCCTAGGTTGTAGTAGTGCTGCGGCAAAATCCGGTTTTCAGAAACTTGAGGCGAATCATCTCGACTCCGCGCCGAGGCCTCAAAACTGACTAAAACGCCTTCAGAGCTCCATCGAGAACAATCCTTAATCGTGTAACGGGAGGAATACGATGCAGCAAACCCGCAGACTCATGAAATTTAAAACATGACCGTGCATGATTATTTATGAATATTCTAAGGCAAAGGAATTATTTACCGCTACAAGTAATGACTGAAAACGTTTTACCTCGATGATTTTGCACAAAAAATGATCAATAATTTAAGAATTTTATTATGTATGAAATAATTGTTAAGATTTTATCAGTTTTTAAACTTGAGTTTGAGTTCGGAGAAGAGGAAATTCAGGGTGATCTGAAAGCAAATTTCTGGAAGAAGGCCAAAGAATTTCCAAA